TACAGGAAATGAAAGTGAACGATCCAACTAGCTTCTCTTGCTCTCACTTTCTTTCTCTCTGCTCAACCCTTCTATCTGGCACTGAGTTCCAATGTTTATGCATTTACTCAGATGGCTGGCGGGATTGTCAGAGAAAAAGGAGGGTTTATTTTTTTCTCTTTCTTTTTTTCTGTGCAATCTCTTGCCTTCAGAAACCATTAATGCCCATTCAACATCAACATCAAGGCACAGCTTTGATGTCTATTCTGGCAACAGACCTCTTTCTTTCTCCGCTGCCTGCTGCTCTCTCTCTCTCTCTCTCTCTCTCTCGCTGTTTCTCTTCTTCTCTCAATCCCCCTTTATCCCCTCCTCTTCCTTGCGCTCACGCTTTACGGTTACTGTACAATCAAATAATTAAACGGATTGCCGACAAAATGATTTTACCTGGCAATTAAATATGCAAAGCGAGTCGGCGAGCGGAGTATGAGGAGGCGATTAAAAAGGGGGGGCCCCGCTGCAAATCTACAAAGGCTTCGCCGGCACAATAGGCAGCAGCCCCTGCCTGCCTTGCACAGTAGCTTAGCCTGGGGAGTGACTGGTGCCTCTTTTATACCAGTCTCACACAGCCATGTTTACAATAGCCCGAACCATGCTACGCCAATTAACACAATGCGAAGAGAGAAAAAATGCGAAGCAAAGAGATGGATGAAGGTGGCGGCGTTGGGGACGTAAAAGGGTGGACTGGGGGGGAAGTGTACGCTGCCAATGAACTCAAAGTTGCACCCAAAAAAAGTTCACCATTGGTGAGAAGACACAGTTGAAAGAATTGCTTTAGTGCTTTATATTCCAAAATAAGTTGGAGGAGTCATGTTTCTGTGAAGGCCTGAACTTCAGAACCTGCATGTAACCTGCATTGCACTTCAACAAAGCGCCTATTACCACTGCAACGCCGCAGAAAGGCTCAAAGGAGACTGTTTGAGGGGGAGACAGACTTCAGGCCCCCCCCCCCCCGATGTGCACGAGAGGGGATGCGACAGTCAATGTCCATCTATCAGCGCTACGGTGGGGAAAAATGCAAGCAATTTTCCTGGATAGGTTTCCCTTCAAAGCCGGAGTCCCAAGAGACTGTAAAAATAGAGTTGGGGAGAGGCGGGGGAGGGAGGGGGGCGGACGGGTGGAGGGTTACACCTGCCCCACAGTTCAACAGAAAGTAGCTGGTTCAGCCCGATTAAACCCTCCTCATTGTCAAGTTGAAAGCATGGAGGAATTGATTTTAAGGTTTTGGGGAGTATGTAATGCATTCATCATGTGTTGAAGTTTCACCACACTGAGCCTTTGATGAAAAGAATCCGGGAAATTAACCTGGTATTTGTTAAAAATACAAACTTGAGAGATGGTGCAGTGCAATTTATTTTTCTGTGAAAAGGGAGGTGTTTACGCTTAAACAAAGAGGAAAGCCTTCAGTAACTCATAGATGTGACCGGTATTGGCGGCTTGAAACAGCAACCAGGGGAGAAAGAAATGAGAAAATCATTTTGTGGGAAGTGAAAGCTTGTCAGTAATGACTGCTGCTATCTTTGTTGCGTGGCTATCTCTGCTTTTTGCCAATTGCAATTCTCTTTTCATGTCACCAATTCGAAGTGAGCGGTACGAGCGAGTGAGTCTGCACGCGGCGGACAGCGCGCACTGAATTATTTCCCGCCCAACTGCTGAAATGAAGTCAGATAATTGAGGCAAACATGGCTCGGCTGCCTATTAGGGGATGCAGGGTGCTTCATTAATGTTTGTGTTGACTGTCAGTGAGCACGCGCTGCTCTTCATTGCTCTTTAAAAGGACCAATTAGCCGATGGCCCCATTTCCACGCTAAATGTCTCCCATTTAAGAGCCGTGCACACTGCTGAATACTCAAGGCGCACGTTTAACCACTCAGGGCCTGTAACACATCAAAAGCTTACAGTCTTTAAGTGATTATTGTTTACGGAGTGAATTTACAGCGTGCATTCCCAAATTCAAACTAAGGTTAAGGAAGATTCCCCTCTCCGCTCTCATTCTGCACGGTGGATCGATCACAGCACTGTGCTGCTGTACTGCTTCTATGTGACGACGGTGTCATTTTACGCTCTTCATACTGAGAAAGACGTGAAGGTTGTACCGAAAGCCGCTATCTGTCAAGAAGAATTCTCGTAATTATTTAACAGGTTACATACTGTTGGCAAATTCTGTCATTCTCATTAGATTGGCTATCAACAATGATTCAGTAGTAATGTGGTGGAGTAAGATGTTTGAATATGTCTTTGAATTTACCTGAATTACTGCATTTACAATTGAACAGCGGAGATATATATATTATTTGGGCTACTTTTAACAATGTGTCATGGTGTTTACAGAATTCCTTTAAAGTGGAATAAAACCACAACCCAAGACTGATACTTATTAGTATTGTTGGCCAGCAGGAGAACATATAACAAGCGACAAAGTCTCACAGAATCACAGCATGGACGTTCCAATTCTATGGGACTCGTCTAAGGCCTCATTCAGCCCGCCTGCCCAAATATTTTTTGGGTAATATCCAGATTGTATTCAGACTGCTTTAGTCTGGATTCAATCAAGTAAGTCTGGACAGCGAAAAAAAAAACACAACATGTGATTTATGAAAATTGGGTCCAAACCACGTTTGAGGGGTTTGAAATGTGATTTCTATTGGATTTTTTAAGAATGTGTCTCAGACCAGCTCAAATGGGATTTTGACACGCGGGTGTGCCGTGCAGAATCCCTGCTGCTACGGAGGAGAACAACGGTCGGCGGACGGATGCAGAAATAACTGCCCGCTTGAATACTCTTTGCACACGTTCCGGTCACAGTGTTTTTTGTGTGCTATGAATCAATGGCGGCCAAAGTCTTGTTTTTGATTGTCAGTCCGTCCATCCATCCATCCATCAATTTTCAACCGCTTATCCGGGGTCGGGTCACAGGGGCAACCGCTCCAGCAAGGGACCCCAAACTTCCCTTTCCCGGGCCACATCTACCAGCTCTGACTGGGGGGGGGGGTCCCAAGGCGTTCACAGGGCAGTGCGGAGATATAATCTCTCCACCTAGTTCTGGGTCTTCCCCGGGGCCTCAGCTGTCCGTGCCTGGAACACCTCCCTAGGGAGGCGCCCAGGGTGCATCCTCACCAGATTCCCAGACCACCTCAACTGGCTCCTTTCGACGCAAAGGAGCAGCGGCTCTACTCCGAGCTCCTCGCGAATGGCTGAGCTTCTCACCCTATCCCTAAGGGAGACGCCAGCCACTCTCCTGAGGAAACCCATTTCGGCCGCTTGTACCCGTGACCTAGTTCTTTCGGTCATGACCCATCCTTCATGACCATAGGTGAGGATAGGGACGAAGATTGACTGGTAGATCGAGAGCTTTGCCTTCCGGCTCAGCTCTCTTTTCGTCACAACAGTGTGGTAAAGCGAGTGCAATACCGCCCCCGCTGCTCCGATTCTGCGGCCAAACTCACACTCCATCTTCCCCTCACTCGTGAACAAGACCCCGAGGTACTTGAACTCCTTCACTTGGGGTAAGGACACATTCCCTACCTGGAGTAGGCAATCCATCGGTTTCCTGCGGAGAACCATGGCCTCAGATTTAGAGGTGCTAATCCTCATCCCGAGCGCTTCACACTCGACTGCGAAACGCTCCAGTGAGAGTTGGAGGTCACAGACGGAAGATGCCATCAGGACCACATCATCTGCAAAAAGCAGCGATGAGATCCGCAGCCCCCCGAACTGTAGACCCTCCTCCCCCCGAATACGCCTCGATATCCTGTCCATGAAAACCGCAAACAAGATTGGTGACAAGGCGCAGCCCTGGTGAAGGCCAACCCCCACCGGAAACGCCTTCGACTTACTGCCGAGCACCCGAACACAGCTCTCGCTTTGGGCGTACAAGGCTTGGATGGCCCCAAGCAAGGACATCCTCACCCCGTACTCCCGCAGCACCTCCCAGTTTCTCTCGGGGGACCCGGTCATACGCCTTCTCCAAGTCCACAAAACACATGTAGACTGGATGAGCATACTCCCAAGCCCCGGCCACCAGACGCTCGCTGTCGGGCCCTCCATCTGGGCCTGGCTCCAAATGGCTCCCGACAACACAGCCCTCAGGGTCATAGGGACACACAAACCTCTCCACCACGATAAGGTGACTGTTCCGAGAGAGGTGATTGTCAGTCATGAAGCAAAACACTGTAACACCCTCCGTGCAGAAAGATCCGTGACACAAATCAATTTTCCTCATGTCTGTGATTGTGCGCCCACTGCCTTTCGCCCCAAGACTGTGTTCTACCATAAGGATTTGACACGTGACATATCGTCTTTTATGACTCAATGATTTCGTTTTGACGCTTGGGGAGGGTAAGCGAATGTCACTTGCCAAAATAAAGAAGATTTGAGGCCATAAACTGTATGTAGATTTCCATTGAAGTTGCTGTCAAAAATCTTCACAATACGGATACCGGTCATCACCTGGGGGTTTGCTAATACCGTCCCATTAGATTGGATGTTATGGAAACGTTCAGTACTCCGGTAAATAGGTCGAACCTTAGTAATGACTTGGGTGAGCTGAAGGCCGCTCAACTTTAGCCAGGAACACAACGTAAAGAGATGTGATGTTGTATGCGTTGCACACGGTTGAATAAAAAATACAAATAGTTTAGAAGCCTTGTATTAGCCGGCTGTCCAAGAGTCTGATGAAGGACTCTTTTGTCCAAGAGGCCGTGCGTACAGCCTGGAGTAGCACGAGGATCTGCAAATGATTTTTATGTTCAGTACCAGTCAAGATACATTTTCTCATTCAATGAGAAAGTGTTTGCAGACCTCCGACCGGTACTGTGTTATTCCTGCACCGTTTCACTCAGAATCCAGGATTCTCTCAGACCACGGTGTAAGAAAGTGGATATCACAACGCATCAGCAGTGCTGTGAGAACGATTTAAAGGTGATTGTCAATCACAATGCAAAAAAATCCAAGCACAACAGCTTTTCATTTGAAAAATATAAAACTTTAATAAAGGCTACATCTCTCAATAATTACAATAATTATAGGTCCATGTAAATCTTTAAATGAAACTCTTTATATAATGTATAATTTACAGTTTAGTTATAATGGAAAAAAAAGGCTGTGGTGTAAAAACAACAACAACAACAAAAAAACATGATTACAGGATATTATTAAAAGCGTAAAAATATCTTTTCAACATAAAACCCTTCTGAAAACCAAGGGATATATAATAAAACCCTGAAACAGGGTAGCACATGGTATGGCATCCATGTAGGCACAGGTGCTGTACTCATTAAACACCAGAGATAATGTGTGTGTACTGTTTGTGTACAGTATGTGTGCATCACAACGTCAGTATCCATACTTCAGAATGCATAATTACAAGGTATACAGGAGCTCTGCTATATACGATGCCAATGCAACAACATTCATAGGATATTGGAGCCATAATTCTTCAATGATCAGGGGTTTTTTCTTCAGTTTTTTTTGACACACTATCGACCCGAACTTGCTCTTGTTACTTTAGTGTGCGGGCTGTAAACACTGCCGTTATTAACTGGTAAAGCTTGTGCTCCAGGTCTCCTCTGTGTGTGTGTGTGTGTGTGTCTGCAACTGCTTTTAACCCCCCCAAGCCCCCCTCCCTCGTGCAATGCCTGGTTTACAAACAAAGGCACAACACAAAAGATTGAGCTCAGTCGCCTGACTTGAGAGAAAAAGACAGGGAGGGGGAGGGAAATGAAACACTAGCAGGGACAAACGTTGAGAAATCATCAGCAGCATATAAGACTGGGATTGACCATCAGAATAGAGGGGGGGGGGGGCGCCTCGGACGACACCACTGCTAAGGTTGTTAGTTTGGATCAGACAGGAGGGCTTACAAGGCTATGGGAGGTGCTAGGCTAGTGTCACATCCTCTGTGTAAAGTAAAAACGGACAAAAAAACAAACACCACCACAGTATTCTCCCAACATTCAAAGCAGCTTGCCCATTGGCTGGAATAGGGAGGAGGGAGGAGGGGGGGGTCACACAGGTTTTTAAAAACAGGGAGTGGGTTTTTTTTTCTTTTTCAATAAATACTTAAAAAAAAAGTAATCTCAAGACAAAAATCATCTATATATAATACATGTATATATACATATATGCATGTATGTATATGCACATGTACAGACGTTTTTTTGTAACGATGTTGGAACTTTAAGAGCAGGTTGGTGGCAACGTGTCTTCAGCGCCTGCCGGTCCGTTGCACTTGGCGTGAACACATCACCAGTCTTTCATCATAACGTAACATCTACATCTTCAGTGGTTATATTCAAGAAGAGGGGGGGGGGGGTCCCCCCCAACTGGCCTCCAATCATCTCCATCTTCTTCATCATCATTCTTGTATTGGTCATGTATAAGTCTTTTTGTGTCATTCCCTTGTGTTTCTAAGGCTGATTGGTTGATAAAGTCAGGGAGGGGCGGCGCCTCCTCTGGGTTCGACATACTTCATTGGCTCGTCTTCCTTCAAACACTCCTCTTGTGCTGGATATATTAACTCTGTTTAGCTTAATATTAAGAAATAGAAGAAAAAATAATAACAGGAGTCCAGAGTATGTTTTGTTAATTACAAAGAGTCTCTAGCTCATCTTTTTTAGGGACAGTTTAGCTTTTGGTTGGGGCGGTGTTTGTTGGTTGGCAACAAGGTGGCTCTTAGTCCATTCTCTCCACCTTGCCCAGAACCTTGCCCTCGTACATGGGCAACACAGTGGCGTCCTCCCACACCTCCTCGAACACGGCACCACACTCAAACTCATCACTGGCTTTCTTGAAGTAGTACCTGAAGAGGAAAAACAAAGAGAGGGAGAGAGAGAGGCCCGTGATTAGTAAACGTTGAGTGTAGGTGCACGTGGAAAAAAAAACAAAAAACATTTGAGCTCAAATGAGAACTGACAGGGTGGCAGCAGGAGTGCATCTGATGCATTTCCTCCTGACTTAAACCGCTTTGAGGCACCTACACAACTATTTCCATTTACATGCTCGCGCCCAACTCCCTTCAGTCCAAATCAAACACAAACAAACACTCTCATAGCCAGAAATGGATCCTGCGCAAAACAACTTAGTCATAGCCTTCAATGCCATCCCTGCACACTTCAAAGGCAGAGCCTGACTCCACATCACACCGCCGCACAAACAGAGCTGAACCCTCCGTTTAAACACTCCCCATGATGATTCCAGCTGCTGGAAAAAGCCGGCTTGTGTGTGTTCATCCATGTGTGCTTTTCTCCTCCGCCACCGATGGCCATTCTATAGATGCCTCTCTGTCCTGCAAGGTCTTATTAAAGCTGAACGGTTAATTAGAAGTGGTCTTAAGGCTGCCCCCCCTTCTCTATCTGTTCAGCAATGACCCCCCCCCCCCCCCCCCGTTCTGTGGCTCCATGGGTTCTAAATGGGGTGGCTGTCAAATGGAGGCCCTTTCTGTCACACACAGGATGGCGTTTCAGGTGCCCTAAAGTCTGCTTTTGACTTCCAGAACACTCGCGCTCTTATCCACACTCGCCATCTCTCACACACACACACACACACACACTTTGGGCCGTTTTCCGATCACCAGCGGAGAATGGAGGGAAAAAAAAAGGGGGAGCGGCAAGCGAAGGAAGCAGGGGAAAGTGGTGTGCGGGCCTGTCTATGGCCCGGCGAGTGGTGTGGGATAGGTTGAATGTGGGCCGAGACTGAGAGGGTTTACCCTGGGAGGGGCGGGGGAGGGATGAGGAAGGGGGGGGGACCGCTCAGACAGTCTCATAGAGGTCACAGGTCGCCTAGCTAGCCCACTCTCCTTCCTCTCTCAAGCAGAGATAACTCCCAGGGTTAGCTTGGTCCCAGTGACTGTGAAGTCTCCTGGAGCTCCTAATGATTCCTCCTCTCTACTTTCAACCCAGCAAAGGATCAGCAGGAGGGGATTTAATGATAAGCTTTGTAATGGAAAAATGTTGCCCATGTGTGTCTGTGTTGGAAATACAAACAAAAAAGAAAAGAGGAGAATAAAATAAAAAAGCTGTTTTATGAGCGATTGCTCAGCTAAGTCATTCAAACAACACATTGAAGGAGGCGCGTACAAAAAGTGCACATAGTTTTATTTGCCATGTTGATTGTAATTACATACCAACATAGGAGGAGGTTGCGTTACCACAGCTGCAAGACTTTCTACTCAAGTGTGCCGCAATGTGTCGCAGGGGGGGGATGGATTTGTTTAAGGATACGGCATTTCAGCAAAGCTTCTACAACAGAGAAAAGTTTGGGATTTAGCCTTTTCATCTTCATTAGTAGAAACCAAATAAATGCGTTGTCCTTCACAATGTAATTGATTCAGGGTGCTTTTATTTTCACTCACAAATGGTTCAAAGTCATCACTTTGTTTTTACAGAGTGAGACGGAGTGACAGAACGAGTCTTACTATTGGAACATGTTTTATGTGGCAGGATTTTTCTCTCCCTCTGCAACATCTGGCACTAATATGGTCTGGCAGCGCTGCAGCGTACTGTTCTCCACTGTACCGCTGCCATGTCCAAATTAACCAACTCCACACATTCTGCTGCCATTGAAGCCAGACGCTTCATCTCCACCTCCCCCTTCTTATTCCTGCTGAAGAGTTATGGGATAGCAGCGGTGCAATGACTTGTTTGCAGGCCTTCTCTCTTGCCTAACAAGCAGATGTGGCTGTAACGTAGCGCTGATGTCATGGGCATGCAGACTTTGTGTCTTTTCAGGGACACACAACCTGTGCAGCACTAAAACAGTTAATGAATAAGTCCTGGACGCTCTCATTTAAATGTTATCTAATGTTTTGAATTGTTGAATAATTCCTGACTTTGTTTAGCAACCCCCCCATCTTCTGACATTGCATTTTGGCAATGGGCATTTTGGCTGTGTGAACGGCTGTGTGAACGGCAATCATAGATTAACAGAAGACGGTTCACGGGGCGTTTGATTTTAATGTCTGATGCAATAGTGTGGAGGAGGAATTTGAAGTCCTCGTGATGGTCTTTGTGCACTAAATAAAATGGCCCGGTCTTCAAAGCCATATTTATTAAGGCTGCCTTACTATGGAAATCAGTACCAGATGTGGGGGGAAAAAAAGGATTGCGCCAGAGCCCCTCTCCCCCCACCTCCCACCCTCTTTCTGTAAGCTCTGAATATAGCGGATCAGGCCGATTTCCTTTCAACCATCAGGCTCCAGTATTTCACACTGCCACTCAGCAGACAAGCATAAACAAGCACAATAAGAAATGCACATACATGCACAGATAACTAATCCCGCTCCGGCACCGCCCTCGTCCAAACGGGTGTGAATAAACATCTGTCCCGGGCGTGAGCCAGTGCTGCGATTTGTGTGCTGTCGCGTGTGGCGAGTGGCTCATAATTACCGGTAGTGGCCTTTCTTGCTGAGCTGTTCCTTGAAGTGTCCCAGGGTGAGGCAGTGGGTCTTCATCATGCTGCGATAAGGAATCTCCTCACCGCAGAAGAAGTATGTGACCATTATCTCCTTAGACCTGAAAATTAAAAAAAATAAAAATAAAAAACTTGTTTTAAAAAGCTGAACTATTGGTCAGATTGTTGAATGTAGTCACAAAGCATCTTTGGAGTGTAATTAATCTTTCGCCCAAGGGTGGAAAAAAAAATGAAAATAAAAGAGGCCTCATAGTCAGGTGGCTTTGGCCCATCATCAAACACAAATGTAAAATGGGGTAAATTAATTTGAGTTACCAGGGGCAACTTAACACAGTTGTGAGTGTGTGTGTGTGTTGGGAGACGGGCGGGTAGTTAGGATTCTGTATTAAAGCATGTTTAATCTTAAATGATTAAAAAGCAAGAGAAGAGGAGTTCAAAGACATAGCTGCGCTGACTCACAACCTCTCCCTTTTGAAGGGGTGAGCGAGAAAATCAGTGCGGAAGAGGGTAAAAAAACAAAGAAACCTTTTTAAAAAAGAAAAAAGTCTCCGTCGGTGTGAGAAAGCAGATGTGCTAGAATAGCTAGAAAGCAACTGGGAAAGACCGAAAGAAAAAGCAGCTGAAGTATAGAAAGGGCGGCGTACTCGTCTGCTTGGAGTCCGGGGCTGGCCAGCGCGCTGCATCCAGCGGGGACAACAGCTGCTAGATGGCTCTTGTCTTTCTGAAGGCTGCTGGCTCCTGTTGAATGCCTGTTGGAATAACAGACACCAATGAGTAATCTATCACCACATTCGTAGTAAGGGAGTAAGCGAAGCATCTATTTTATTCCAAATGTCGACGATGGGGGAACATGCTGTCAGTTTTGTTTTTGTGCATCTACCTTTGCTTCGGTGGCTTCGAGACCTCTTCCAGTCTGCGGCAGGCCTCCTCAAGCTGTGCCATTGGTGTTTGGTGGGGGCAGGGGGGGCATGGCCGGGTCCTGGATGAACGGGTGGCCCGGGTGGTGGCCGCGGAGGTGAGCCCCACTGCCGATGCCGCCTCCACCCCAAGAGGATGGGGTCCGAGCGGGCAGAGCCTTGGAGTCGAGCGGGCTGGACTTCTTTAGGCCTTGAGTGCTGGTAAGATTTTTTTAAAAAAAGGTCATCATTAGCCGGGAACTCGAGACACGATCAATAATGTGAAAACTCCCGACAGAAACGTACCTGTGTGGCTTGTGCTTGCCCTGCCTCTCGCTCTCTAGGATCCACTGCCAAACATTCTGGGAGCGGTCAGTGGCGTCGAAGGGAAGGCGTGGCGAAGACACGCCCTCGTCGGTGGCTTTGACGGGTCGTCTGGACAAAGTGCTGCAGCGACTAAGGGGGGGGGGGGGGGAGAGGAGAGCACCAGGTTAGCACCGTGGAGAAGCTTTACCCTTTCCACGGTGCTACGGGCCGACTGACAAGCAGTCGCAGCGGTGTTTAGAAGCCACACTCACGCGGGGATGAAGTCGGAATAGTTGGCGCCCCCTGGAGGGCAGAGGCACTGCACGCGCTGAGTCGCCTCGGCCTCGATCTGCTCCTTGGTCTTGAGGCCAGCGTGGTGGTGGTGGATGTAGTGGTGGTGGATGTGCTTAGTGGACGGCTTGCCCGTCACCAGAACCTTGGTGGGCCCGGGATAAGCGCCAAAGAAGGGCCCGCGGCCAGAGGACAGCATGGCGTCCGTCCGGTCCGGGGAGCGCGAGCGCGGCGAGTGCCGGACCACACCGGGTGACTGGCAGCCGGGCGTCTTCAGCACCCGGGACAGGTGCTCGTCCAGGATGGCCTGGGGGTCTTCCTCGCACTGGCTGCCAGACGGGAAGAGAGGGTGATGGAGGGAGGTGCTGCCGGCGAGGTCAACGCTCTCCTCCCTTTCCTCCTCCTGGGCAGGCAAAGAAAAGAGCAAAGGGGGGAAAAAAAGTAAGGCAACTGAGGAAACATTTATACACAGTCACGTGTGGGAAAGGCAGCCAGCACGGGGATTTATGTCTCAACTTAGACCAACTATTCTATCGTCCTCTGAAGTCAGTGAGAGCAAACGCCTGGGTAACTTGATTTGAGTTTCCCTTTTTTGCCGCACTGTTATCTTCGCTAACAGGCTTTGGGTGCGCTTCATCTATAATGCAGAGTGTGCCTGTGCCGCACAAAGAGACTGGCACTACACATACTCAGCAAACGTGCCACTGGAGAGTATCTAAGTGCTAACTATTTGAAGGAGCTTCAAGTGTGTCTAGAAACATAAGTTTGGAAGTTCCTCCGGATGAAGGAGTGGAGGACAGGGAGGAAAAGGGAAGAAGGAGCTACACCAAGACAGACATTCAAATCCCTCGGTCTTTCCCCTGTTCTTCGACATACTAAAGCTAGCTATTTGCGGTGCAATATGGAACTTGGATATAAGTTATGGGTTTCCAAGCGGGAAGCTGTTGAGAACAGGTTTGCGTGCATCCGTACCTCCTGGATCTGCTGCAGCCTCTCCTCCAGGGAGCTCATGGTGTCCTGCTCTCGCTTGAGCTTCTCCAGCCGCGATATGAGCTGGGCAGCAAAGTCCGAGGGCTCGATAGGGGTCATCTCCTTAGGCAGCCGGTGTGTCCTCTGCAAGATGAAAAAAAACACAGGGGAAAGGACAAACTGAGTGTGTGTGTGTCTGAGGTTGCAATCGGCTGCATTAATCCACCGTCCCATCTCGCTCCAAAAAAAGCCCGCTCCTATTCCAAAAGCCCCTAATCCAGATGCCCTTGCCCTCGAGCGAACCTGAACCTTCTCCCCGGCCCGCCCCTCCCCCAGATCTTCCCATACCCAGTGCCCTTGGCAGTGCCAGGCTGGTGGGTGAGCAGGAGAGAAGGGGGGGGGGGCGATGGCGGTGTAGCAGTTGGTCCCGCTCGGAGGGGAGGCCCCCTGCCTGCACCCTCTGTAGCCCGACCAAGCCATCAGCCAGGCAGCCTCTGAAGTCAGCAAACTTCAAAGGGCCCTTGTCAAACATCAAACGCACACTAGGGGTGGGAGGGACACGCGGCTTTAAATCTCCGAATAAAAGCCAGATATCGACGGAGAAGAAAGTGAGGAGAGGGGAATAAAAAAAAAATGTAAAAAGGGGAGGGAGAAGAGGGGGGACAAAATGAACGGCATGAAGAAAGAGGAAGAGGATAGAGATGCGCGTTGGTGAAGTGGCGAAGGAGGCCGAGAGAAGCAGCGAGACAGGAGGAGAAATAGGGAGGGAGTCAAATACTGGGAAGATCTGAGGGGAAGTAGTAATTTATTTGCCGGCTGCATGCAGGGCAGCTCGGAGGTACTCTAGTCACATTATCCTCCTTTTTCTTCAACTATATGCACCGGCTTCGCTCGCTCTCCCTTTTTTTACTTTTTTCTGTTATTTGGCACACTGGCTTTCTTGATTTTGACTTTTTTTTTTTTTTTTTTTTTTGTTGTTGTTGCTCTCATCTCTTTGTAGACGCGATGAAGGGAAGAAGAAGAAAGGCAAGCAGAGCTGCTGGCAAAGGAGCGCCAGCCCTGCACGGGCCCCTGCTGCCTGGGGCTGGTGCATCATGGGAGACAGAGCCATCTCCAAATCAGGAGGGAGACATTAAAGGAGAGCAAGTGGGAAAGGAAAAGAGAGAGAGAGAGAGAGAGAAAGGGGCGGAAGAGACCGTCAATTGCATGCACACACAAACTCGATAGACGGATACCTGTGTTTGGATTTTGAAGACAAAATTATTTTACATTTTCTTTTGCCTCGAAACGGACCCACCATCTAACCGGTGTCAGTCTGCCATAACCCAGTTCCTTAAACATCCCCAACATTGCTTCAGCGGGTCTTTAAAAATCATGAATTCAAAGTACACGCGCCGTATGACCTGAATATTAACAGGAACAGACATCAGGTTGGGAGTAGACGAAAAGTGGGACTGAGCGGTGATTTGGCTTCTAACTGTCCTGATAGTCAGTTCAAAGAGGAATCTTAATGTTGAATTTAATAATTACCACTAACACCATACCAGTTATTTTTTGAAGCTATCATTGACGCGTGAAAACATGATACTACAGTATCTGAGACAGAACACCAAGATGACAATATAAGTTTATATTTACGGCCTCAAGAAGCTTCTGGGAAGGAGAGGGAGGGGGGACGGGAGGGGGGACAGCAGCAGCAGAAGAAGTGGTATGCTAATCCTGCCTTTCATTTACCCTGGCTTTTAAATGAAAATGAGCCAGGGAATGAAATATAGTATTCTGTCACAACATGAGCTCTGAAAAAAAAATAAAAATAAAGCACAGCTCCTCGAGGGAATCGGGACCCAGTTGTCTGTCAGCTTGTAAAAGTTTGAGCTTAGCGCATTACAAAAAGAGGAAACACTGAGGCAGGAAGTGGGACTTACAGGAAAGTGGGGTAGCGTTATTTGGCCATTGATTTTGACACTGCGATGGATTTCTCGCTGGAGTTGCTTCTTAGTGCCCAGCTTATACGGAGGGATTCCATCTCTGTTGAAAAAACAAAAAAAGCATTTGCATGTTAAACACAACGACCCCTAGAAATGAATCTTACATAAAATGAATTTAGTGTTATTTTTCATCATCTAATTGCAACTCTTTTATGCGGGTCCACAATCCCTCCACAGCGCCTGTTGGTGCATTAGCACCATTAGCCAGTCGTTGTGCAGAAAGAGCCCTCAGGAGATCATTGAAGTGACCGACACAACGCCGCTCAGTAACCACCCACTAGGCACATTACCTCTAAATCAAAAGGCCACACAGCCCTTGAAGCCAAGGCAACAAAAACACACATAACAAAACACACCAGAACAATGGCGGAGATATGCTAAACATCCCACTGTGGGCTTCAAAAGGAGAGCCTCACTGATAACAGTGCTCGGGTCCTTGTAAACTCTGACAGCGGTTGTTTAAAAAGCAGACAAATTAACGGGCGACTCGGTCGCCGGCTGGGAACCACAGCAAGCTCGCAAAAGGCTGCTTCGGTCCTGCAGGCTTGGTAGCTCTGACAAATTAATACAGAGATTTATCCCGGAATTCAAAATAGTCTCCGGACAATTTAGCATTTATTCTCCAATTTTCATTTCGGGCTCTGCTAGCTTTTTGCAGTCAGCTGCCACTTAAACTGGGCCAATTATCGTGGCCGTTTTGGCTGCTCAGAAGTGTCTGACCTAGCCCAAACGCTACTTCTTCTGCTGCCTCTTTGAAATCTCACACTCATGCACATATGCACCCACTGCCATCTTCGTTTGGCAAGCACTGTGCTGCGAGCCTCTGATCTCAGCAACATCAAAAGGCTGGTTTGTAAGATAAGGTAATGTTTGAAGTTGGTGCAGCAGCATTCCCCAGCGTCCAAGTAAATCCATAAATAAGATATAAGCAAAAAGAGAAAAAGAAGTCCCGCCGCTCCCCTCCCTCCCCCCCTCCTTCCGCCCCCCTTCCCCAAATCCTTCTCTTCTTGTTCTTTATCTGGGAAATGAGATTCAAATTCGCAGTGTGCCTTTTAGCCGCTGTGAAAGAACACACTAATAGTAGGTGCGTGTTTTATTGACATCACTTCCGCGTGCCGGAGAAACAAAAAGAGAGGGCGAGCGCAGGACAGATCCTTGATATTAAGACGTCACGCTGTTTAACACTGAATCCAAGTTTTTTTTCTGCACTCCCCTAAACAAGCCTAAACGGAAATGTGACTTTCGCAAGTCAGAGTGACGTTATCTGGGGGAATCAGACACTGGAGGCCAAGCTGCTGACATCAGCCGCGTTGCAGCACGCTTCTTGTGGGCGGAGCCTACAAACTGTCCCCCCCCCCCGGAGAGTAAGGAAGAAACACAGGGAACTCTTCAAAAGTCAAACCCACCACCCCAGCCCCCTCAAACTCGACGCAGTGATGCGTCTCAAACCAACCACCATGTTTTTTTTTTGTTGTTTTTTTTATCAATCCAAAGCGTCTCCTCCCCGGACCGACCATGTGACGGCCGGCTGCTTTGTCCAGGTTGGGGAAAAAAGCGAAAAACAGCCGTGGGCTCCTTCATGGTTTCGTGGGCCCTTACTTTATGGGGATCTCCTATTCAGTTGTGCAAGTCATTTTCAAAGCAGCCAGCCACCCTCTTATCCCCCTAAGCTCCCCTCACCTAACAATAGGCTGAAAGCGATTCAGTTAAGCCCTTTATACTGCGTGCACTTTATTTTCTCACTCCCTTGCACTTCGAGCCCAAGCACTCCTGCTATTGGCTCCGGCGGGTGGAGGAGAGGGCCTGTGGAGGGTTGGGGTGGGTGAGGTGATTTCTTTTGGGGTGGGGTGGGGTGGGGGGGGTGCCCTAGTCTGGCCAGGGGGGAGTTCCTCATGCCTTGTCCCAAGGTCTAGAAATGAGTAACCCCTGTGAAAGCCTCACAGACACATGATCTCAGCACGCCGCAGAGGCCAGTGGCAGGAAACCGACCCACCATGTGAGTAAGCCTCCTTTCATTTGGTGCCAACATTTTTCAATGAGTTTGTCTTGAGGCCCGAATGGCCATTTCCCTCCCCCTCTCCTCCAGCTCTTCAAAGGGAAAAAGCGATTAGATAATATGAAAAAACAAGTCTGTTGTGGCAGAAGGGTGGGTGGGATAGATACATTTCAAACTTTGAGGAAAATGAGGCAACGCCCCACCCACATCAAGACCCTTTTTTTTTTTTTTTTTCACCCGTCTCTCCAGCCTGCAACTCATCAGAATAGACTTCAAAAGGTCCTCAGACGTAATGACTTTCCCAGAGTTGTCTCCCTGGAGGCCGCAGTAACAACTACACATTAATAGAATTACCTGGAGTCAATCATAGGGGATAATTAAAATACATTACGGACCATTATTTCGCAACAGTGCATTCCCTGGCCTCAGGAAATGCTGACTCTGTTGGACTACAAAGGCCAAATATTTTTCTTCACACCCCTAGACTGTTCCCTGGACAGCTTTTTGACAGAACGGTGTTCCAGGCCCGTTCAGATACTATTGAAACAAATCAAACTTAGCGCTGTAGCCAGAGTCTACTGAATGGAAATGAGTCCTTTTGACGTTGCTCCATAAGTGAAATGAAACAGAGACATTTGCCTTTTTGGATTTCAATAACAACAAAAAGCACTTACACACTACTGTCCGTCATGGACATGGAATCGTCTGTCATAGCATCACTGGAGATCTCGCTGTCGTTGGCACTGGTGGCGGGGGCAAAAATGTAGCCGGAGTTGACGAAGTAAGGGCTGGCAGGGTCTCCTCTACGGTGGGACCTGTAAAAAGACCCAAAAGAAAAGGTTGGCCATGATTTAATGTCATGTCCCTTTTGGCTATTGTGTTGGAAGAAGACAGAGTATCTGACAGCTGTATTGAGTTTGCTCGCTTCATCTTCCCCCCCTTTTCTTTTCTTCATTTTTTTTGTCAATTCCTGTAATTAAAATAATTTTCCATGCGACTTTTGGGTGCCAAAGGAATGTGACAGCAATATTAAACATGGAGCTATGGGTTCTCTTATTTATTACGACTCTTTCCCTTCTTTGACGCCCCCCCCTGCCCATACAGGGGTTGTGTGTGTGTTGGGGGGGTTGGAGTGGCTGAAGTGAGCAGCCTGCCTGTGTTTGGGTGAACAGCAGCATTTCACCTCTTCTCTCATGTGCGATCGGCACACCCTTTCGTGTTGGGACACTCCTGCACTCTCTCTTTCCCTCTCTCTATCATTCAGTCTGGGGGGGGGGGGGCTCCTTTCCTTCCCAAAGTCTCTCTCTCTCCCTCCTCTCTGTCTCTCTCCTCTCTCCTGCTGTGTTGCATTCCTGTTTCAGTAGTGAAGGGGGGTGGACGAGGAAGAGGGAGGGAAGAAGAGGAAGGGGGAACTTGAGCTTTAGAGGAGAGGGAGGGAGGGAGGGAAAGGGGGAAGGAGGGCCCCTTTCTTTATGAGAATGCCTTCTGCCGCGAGTGCTGAGAGGAGAACCCCAGCCTGACTAAAGCCGTAGGCCCCCGAGCACAAACCTGACCTTTGGAAGGTCCGCGCAAAGAGTCAGGTATTTAGCACAGCTGGCTCTCTGTACCCCCCCCCCCCGCCTGTGCTTGTTTGCTCTGTGTTTTTCATGACCCCCCCCCCCCCCCCCCCTTCCCCCTTTTGTCTCTCCCTGTCTTTTTTCCAAAGCATGCTTAGTCTCTGTCCAGACGGTGTCTCTCAAGACATGAAAGGTGCTGGATGAAAAGAAAGAGGACCATTGAGACACCGGCGCACACTGTGTGCACGCCAAACGTGGGGATCGGCGGTGGAGCCGCGAAACTGAGCTCAGGGATGTTTTGTTGTGGTGTTCTTCTATCATTTGGAGAGTCGGGGCTTGAGGGTTTTCTCCACTAAAAAAAAAAAAGGAGGGGAAAAAAAGGATTCTGTGCAATGCCAAAATTTAGTCCCACATGTTTGAGAGGAAAATGGGTTGCCCTAAAGAGATGGTGAGGGCCATGGGGGGGGGGGGGGGGGCTCTACCTCCCAATTTTCTTTCAGTAAAAAAACAAGAACGTGGGGGGATCACACCAGGAAACCAGGAGATCCCCACATGTCAACAAACCGTGTGCTTATTGGTTCCTAACCCTTTCAAGAAAATGAGTAACTGTGCTGTGACGTTATCTGACATCTGCTCACATGAAGGATAAAATCCTCAAGGGAGTGTTTAGGTTTGAGTTATGAGACTCAGTCGACTTGTTGTTGTGTTTTACTATGCAACTAGTAAATCATGGGAAATACGGTGGTTGTTTTTTTTGTTAAATTCCCAGTCACACTAAATGTTTCATGAACTTGTACTTTTCTACCAAACCACAAGCGCGGGGACGCCGTTCAATCGACTGCGTCCAGATGTGCGGACGAAGCTGAGTGAAAAACTTTTTAGTGCCCTTTGATGCGTAAAAAAAATCCACTTCTTCAAAATGTTCCTGTCTTGACAAGATTTCAGCTGTTGGACAAAGTGTGGGACGAGCGCTCAAAAAAAAAAAAAAAAAAAAAAAAAAAACTGCTTTCATCTCTGACCAAGAGAACAATATCTCCGCTTGGCCAAAGACTGCTCCCTTAAACTCCCTCTTATTTATTTGTTTTCTTCTTTCCAGCCGTTTCTTTTTAGAAGAGATTGTGTGATAGTAAACAATAACTATGTGGCTTTGGAGTAGAGAGAGAGAGAGAGGAGAAAACAAGCAGCATAACTTTACAATAGCATCACACTGTTTCATGTAGCTTTAACAGACAGCGACTTGGTGTCTGAATTCGTGCCTGAACCGGAGGAAGCGTTTCAAAGCACAGGAAACTTGGGCAAGCCAGCAGAGGGCTGCCTGCAAGACACCATTTACTTAAAAGGAAGCCTCAGATCCATTGATGTTTTTCTTTCTTTTTTCTTTTTTTTCCTACCCACCCCGCCCCTCTGCCCCTCCAAACCCTTGACTAACTGCAAGGCAGGGGGGCGCAAACACACACACACACACACACGTTCCTCCGAGACGCTTTGATCGCGCGCCTGTATCTCTTCCTTTCCGCATTTGTGAGAAACCGCCAACTGCCACAGTTTTAATAACTAATGACGGAATCACACGAGTAAGCACGAGGCTACTAAAAGCACTAAAAGGCAACAACACGCATGCGCCTACCTGCAACTGTTCTCCAGCACTTCGGCGGCGGTCCGGATGGTGGCCGTGGCGCGCAGAGCTTTCGCGGACAGTCCAACCACGGAGCCCAAGGCTTTCGCCTTCAGGTCGTTACAACTCCACTCCTCTTCCTCCAGGAGGGGAGGAAGGTATCCGCACATCAGCTTCAGGCTGCCGAGGCCGCCGTGGTTCATGTACGCCGCGTTCTCGCAGCCCGCGCGCACGTATTCGAGGTATATGTCAGAGGTCAAAAACATCTGGTACGCGTTCTCCTCCATGTTGGACTGAATCTCCGTCTGCGCCTGGTCAAACATGGCGGAGTCTATCTGCTGCTTCTTAACGCTGTCCCGTATGAAGGTCTTGGTGGCGGGCTTCATCTGCTTGGCGACGATGCTGTTGTTCTCGATGTACCGCTTGAAAATAACTTTGGCGACTCGCGCCGTCTTGCTGTCCTTTAAGTCCATCTGCCGGAAGCCGTTGCAGGCGAACCAAAAGTCCAAAGTGTCCACGCAGTTCTCCCGCTCCAAAAAGGTCCTGAAAAGGTGAGCGCCGTCCTGGTCGCCCAGGAGGAAATGCAGAGACTTGGTCCACCGGACTAAGGGCGAGTCCGGGGACGCGCTGCCCTCCGGCTCCCCGAGTCCATCCTCGTTCCTCCGCGGCGCGCAGCCGGGAGGCGCGCAGGCGGCAGCGGCAGCGGCGGCGGCGGCGGCGGCGGGGGGGCTCTCTTTCACCTTGCTGTGGGCTCTCATTTTGGAAGATCTGCTGGGGTTGTAGCATGACGCCTCTCCCTCCTCCCCCGGTACCGGAGGACGAGGAGCATCTTCTCGGAAGCTACTGCTGATGTGCTCCGTAAGCGCCCTGCTCATGGCTCCAGCTCCGGTTGCCGTGTGAGAGTGCCGTCGCGCCTCCAACCGAGCTCCAGCCTAATCCTCCTCACTCTCTGGAAGCAGCGGGGGAGCTTCTCAGCTCCTCTTCACTCTGAAACACAAAGTATTGATCTAATCAAAGCCGGATCCTGCTGAACTTCAAAAGAAAGACATCAAGTAAACAGTCCCTTTCAAAAAAAAAAAAAAAAAAAAAAAAAAACCTCACCGGGTTCACAGAGGAAGGAAATATGAAAGGCTCTTTTTTTCTCGTTTCATTTATCTATTTATAATCTAAATGAGAGATCAACCTACATTCTCGACGCGCATTGATCTGTCACATCAAGAATTACATTTTTCTTTTTTTACAAGTAATCATCTCACACGCGTTCTTCGCCCAAACCCGCGTTCTCACAACTACTGTGGCTTACACGTGTTTTCCTAACGAGTCCGTGTCACAGGCTTCAACTCCAATTAATTCCCGATCTGCTTCGGACGACCGTACTCTCCCCCTGCCTGCATGGCGCGCACACGCACGGTCGCCTTCACTCGGGAGACCACACTTGTTCCGCCATCCGAGACGAGATGTAAACGCACCCGATCGGCACCACAACGACCTCAAACCGTTTGGTAAATGTACGAGGGGCTAAAAAGTCAGTCGCTCGTGCGTAAATGTACGCGATCAATCGTCTTACTGGATATTATTAAAGCAATAGAACGCGCACCGACGCGCTACACGTACACCATGTAAATAACCTCTGTGTTTCAATAGGAGCCTCAGCGCCCAAATCCAAAAGAGACTTGTTTCCTTAACCGAGATAAACTCAATAGTCACATATCCGACACGATCAGAAGCTTCATGCAGTCTCAATCGTGCGATGTGAATCTAATAAAAAAAGAAAAGAATCCACTTGTGCCGTCCACAATGAGCGTGCGTAAAAAACCCACCTACCATCGCAGAGCATATCCAGCCGGAGTCCAAACCCGTGGAAAAGTTGAACTATTACTCCGGTTTACAGTAGAGTCTAATACGGTCCCAAACTCTCCGCGCGGTAATCCAGCACAAAGAACACGCGACTATTCAAAGGCTTCGCCGTGCCACATGCGTCCTAATGCCGCTTGCAGGGGGGGAAAGCACGCGCTGTAGTTTGATGTACCCTGTCCCATTCAACAACTGACCCCGGAGTAGGCAGGCTCAGTCCTATGTAGATCATCGGGGGTGTCAAAATCTGGAGGAGGTAAAAGGGGAGGTGGAGAGGGAGGAGGGGGGCTCTGGGCTCCGATTGAAGAATACATCCCACTTTCCTTTCCCAGCAAGAAGACGCACCACCCGACAAATATTCGTGTTTTTTTTTTTAATCTGAGCTACACACACACACACACACACACACATATATAAGCTTCTTATCTATCTCACCGTATTTCTCGCCCACAAACAAGAAACATAGCCCGCATTTCTCAACTTCAAAGCTCGGCAGCAGCACATCAAAGCGGGCCAAGAGAGGGGGCCTGTGGGAACGGCTTTCCCTAACAACTCACCGTCCATGTTACCCGGGCAGCCTCCCTGCGCTGCAGCGGGGAAAGTGAAGGACGCTCCAAAAACAACCCGCCTTTGACTGCTACCGCTCCTCTGCCCAGCGCCGTCCTGTCACACTGGACGCGGGGAGTTTTAATGCAGCTGCAAATAAAGGAAGAGAAACGTTTCGCCCTCGACTCTCTGGTTCTCCCCCTCCTCCTCCTCCTCCCTCCTAGGTGGTGTTTGGAGAAGTCGCACAGGCTGGCGGTGTAGATCCTCCGGGCTGTTTCTAAAACAACTGGGCTCAAGGTTTAACTGCGGACTTCAAAGCAACGAGCCGCTGTCCTGGTCCCGGAAGGTACATACAAACACAGCGCCTCGCCTTCAGCCAGCAGCCGATGACACGAAACAAACGTGAAGCGAACTAGTGAAGTTAAAAAAAAAAAAAAAAAAGAACGAGAAAAGGCTACGACTTATAAGCATTTCTCCATCCAACTGTTCCTCGTGCGCAACACCAGGCGTCGAGGCGTTTATTAACGTGACATGCACTTTTTCAAGACAAGGATTTTACACGTGTGCCAGGACCTTATCAAAGACCGGCGCGGTGCAGCGAACATAGCGAGGCTTTAAGAAGTGAGCGATGCGTCTCGCTTACGTTACCGAACGCAAACACAGCGAACTACAGCCATGCGCTTGTTGCCTCTGGCCCCCCACGATAAGAGGGAGTTTAGTGCGTTCACGTTGCTGAGGAGTCGTGGTTTATGCTGTTTTCACGGTTAATTCTGTGGTGTGTTGTACAGCAAGATGTTCCTTTTTCTCAATTCTTTAAATTCATGGTTTAAGCACAGGGAGTTTTATCGCATTATCCGTGTTATTTCTTTATCAGAGGATGGGGAGTGACAGTTGAGAATGTGGGTTTAAATATGGATATAATATGTCCACAATGATTTTAAACATTTTTCTTTTTAATTTTAGAACTTGCTAATAATCCTACAGACAGTGTAACTGTCAAAAACTGTAAATATTAGCTACAGGCTTTTAGCCACAAAGATGTCAACCTAACACACTTGCCAGTTCCACATGGAGCGAAAATGGCACAGCATGACATTTTGATTGAAATTGGACAGAGAGCAAAGGCAAGAGCTGTTCTCTAGTCTTTTAATTCACATGACTTCCCTAATGTCATTGTGACAGAATCTTAAAGAGTGGGTTAGACAGTGATCCAATCCCATGCTACTTCAAAGGCTATATTGTCCCTTTGATGTTGAAAATCAACTTTAAAAGGAGAATATAATTATATAGGTCAGAAGATTCAAATTCCTAAAACTCTCATGATGGTACAGGGTAAGGAAATTAACAAACTCCAACTTCTGTGAATTCCACAAGTGGCGATTAATTCATTATGAGTTATGCATCTAGAAGTACAAGCATGCTACAGTATGTAGCGGTTTCTGTCTAGATTCATAGTTGAGTCTTTGTATATTTGTCCAAATCTGGAGATTTGTCCCCATGGCGCGGAGTACAAATACTACAGCCTTTTTCTTTTCAATTTAGATGCTCAATACTTTCTCACGGCATCCTGCAGCCAACTAGTACATTTCAGTTGTGACATATGTTGCTGAGGAATTTTAACACATGCCAGATTTCTTACAAAAATGTTCAATTGCATGCCTTTTTTGTCTTTTTGGGTAAATCACAGGAGTCTGGCTGACTGCATTGACATCTTGCCAACCACTTCCTGCCCGCTGTGAGATAGTCTGGTGATTCATTCCAGCTTGTTTTAAATGAGAATCTTTTCAGAGATTTTTCATTGCAAGGTGTTATAACAAAGCCGCTTGATAGCGGCCGGTAGGGTGTCTTTCTGTCTCTGTTTGTGTGCGCATTCATGTGTATGACAAACTACGAAGGGGTAATTCATTGCCTCTGTTTATACCGGAGGGCCGTGCAAAACAAACAATGCTGCCACAAATCCAAACAATCCAGCAACCAAAATGCACAAAAAGCCTCCAACACTTTGCAACGGGAAGTGCGAGATGGAACACCGAATCCCCAAAATGGGTCAGCGGCGTTCGCAGGGCACTGCGCTGATCATTACATTACAGGTCATTTATCAGACGCTTTTAACCAAAGCGACTTACATTACACTTTAAACCCATGGCTTTTTTTCACATTTTGCCAGGGGAGCAATTAGGGGTTCGGTGTCTTGCTCAGGGACAGCCTGGACTCGAACCACCAATCTCGTGCTCCCCAGCACACCTTCTCTAACCCCTGCACCACGACGGCCCACATCCCCTGATCAGCCGGGGATCAAATTAAAGCAATGAAATATGTGGCCGTATTGTTATCTGCGCGCTAACTTCTTTAAAGTCAGCTTTGAAAGGAGAATTGAGATACAAGAGGGGTTATAAAATGTAATTTTTGAAGTGCAGGACAATCTTAAAAGTGAGATATTTCCCATTCAGGATAAGACGCTATCGTCACTCAAATTAAATTAGGCCGCACATACCACTGCAGAAGAAAAAAAAAAGGAGGCCACGGTTTAGTTTTTGCTGACAGGCAGGAATCTTTGATCGCGCCTCGCCTGGTCCGCTTTCAATGAAAAGTACAGATCAGACCGTTCAACGATTGAGGAGGCGTTTGTTTTTAATACATTTCTACAAACAAAACTGTGATCAACAAATAAACCGAAAATACAAGTTGCTTGTCTTTTTTTTTTGTAAATTTGTCTGGAAAGTGTCATGAGATGCCAAACACATGTGACACCAACCAAACCCTATGGGACCACACCTGTTGACCCGTCAATGCCTACCCTTGTGTTTAGCGGTGACAAAAGAGAGAGAGGGCGCTGTAAAGTAGCCACAAGGAGCCCCTTTTTGATGTTGACCCCACCCTGACCCCTTTGTTGGGGCCCTAACCATTTCACAGGAAGATCCAAACGCTCTAAGAGCACAATGCAGGACGAGAGTGCCGCCACTGACTTGCTAGAAGCCCCAATAAAACAGGGTTGACCTGGAGGCTAATTGAGAGCTCGTGGTTGGGGAAGAAATGAAAAGGCATCTGCTGCGTCACCACAGATTGGAAATGAAGCTCCTCTTTAATTAAGTCAACATTTAAAGCGCGGAGAGAGTTTCCTTCACGCGGTACAGGTGTCAAAACGAGATGCATGGAAACAGACAGAGGAGTTTGATCATGTGTTGTGCGTTGGACTGGGTTTGTTGTGAAAAAACTCCTTTTTCTTACATTAAACCATAATAGGGAATTGCATTACCGCGCACACCACAGTATCTGTTCCCACAGCGTGAACAATATATTCTTTAAGGGCCGCATTGTTTGCCCCTTCCTCCGCTCAAATCCTACACATGTGCTAAAATAGCACAGAAAAACAGACCAGAGGGTGGCTAATTGCAAATAACCCAATATGTTGTAGTTCAAAGGCTGTGGTGGGTTTGAGTGATAATTTTGGCTGAGCATCACCATAAACACTAATAAAATTAAGTGCGTTGGAGGGAGGAGGGGGCGTGGCCAGGCCTCCCTTTGAACAGACCCTGTGATCAGTTCCCCCTCTCAATTAGCGTATTGTCCACTTGTCCTTTCAGCTG